CTAAATATGCAGTTATATTACGGGTCATTGGCATGAATTGTACTCATGGTGGAGCGGTGGTGAAGAGCTAAGAGCGAGTGAAAACCACGACGCACCGACTTTTAAAAAATCTGCTCCTCGCTCGAGCCAAAATCACACCGCTCCGCTCACATACTCTGATTGTGAGCAACTGTTGCTGTCATGACAGATCTATTTCAGAACCAGCTGCTATCAAAATAATCAGGCTGTGGGCGAGATATTATTGCTGGCGAGCCAGTTTTGGCCCGCGGGCCGCCTGTTGCCGACCACTGCTAGAATCTGTACAACAAGGCACTCTTGGAGATGAAAAAAAAAAAAATCAAATTTTGGTTTTTGGCATTTGTGTTTTAAGAAACATCAACAGCTTTTTATAAGGAAAGCAGACCATATCTGACTGTCTTTTGATGTGTTTGGATAATTTATGCATAAAAACCAGTAATAATATGATAGGTTTGTGGATTCAGCACCATGGACAGCAGCTTCAGACAAACTTCAGCATCATTGATGACAGCTGAACATGAGTTTATCTGCTTCCTTCCCTTCACTTTGACTTTGAGCATAAGAACATCAGCATTAAAATAATGGCTCGATGTAATTATCAAATATTAGGCCAACGTTTCATTCCTCCAGATTCATTCTTAGCTTTTGAACAAACAGGAGGCGAGTAAATCAGTGTCATTTATAATTAATCAAACCAGAACACAAGAAAATAAATGCATGTTCTCTATCAACCACCACACAATAGTGCATAAAACTAATTTTAATGAAACCAAGAAATGTAATGTTTAGTAGAAATGTAACATTACTTCAATTTTGCCACTAGATGGAGCCAGAGGTTTCAATAAGACAGCTGGTTTTGCTTTTACTGTAGCTGCTGCAAAACTATAATAACAAATGCAATGAATGGGGAACTGGAAACAAACATTCAATTATTATCATTCAATAATAGCATATATAACAGATTCAATAGAGGTCGTCTGCACAGCCTACAAGAACACAAATAAAAATAAAGGATACTGTAATTTTGTGTTTACAGTCTGATCAAGTTCTCAGGCATTATTCTTTCACAGACTATAACAAATGCAGTGTCTTTATTGTATATCCTTAAAATGCACTTCCCTAAATAATCTTGACAAAATAAAAGTGTTCCTCCAGCATCATATATTCTGAAAATTAATATTGTTTGAAATTAATCGTTTTGATATCTCAGCACGTTAGAGTATGGTGTTTAATATAACAATGCATATACTGTATAATTAGAAACTTGCATAATGTATTTTAGTCATGTTGTTTGAGTTTAAGATAATGTGAGGTTCACGAGCCTCAGCGCGACCGTTAGTTAAACCACTGCTCAGAAAATACCATATAAATACGTTTCGTGGTGTGTCTGCAAGTCTTCTGAAGCCGTGAAATAGGTCCGTGTGAGAAACAGATCCAGATTTAACTCATTACTCAAAGAAATCTTGTTCTAGCTGATCTGCCTGTTTATTAATTTGACGATTCACCCGCGAACTTTGTTTTCATTCAAACAGAAGCGCAGCTCCATATAAGGAGAAAAGGGAGGAGTCGAAGCTGTGCTTAAATCTCATTGGCTCTCGCGCGTGAGTGTCGTGCCATATGTGAATACTTACGATCTAAATAAGAACTGCAGGTTCTGTGTGCCATAGTCATAGTGGATCACAGTCGACACAACAACAGTTCAGACACCACTGTTTAATTTCCCGTTTCAAGCACTGATGTATTATTTCAGGTCTGATTTCAGGAGAGGCTCCAGTGCGACAGAGCAAAAGGCACTGAGGGATTCTATATTTAATCATGCATTATTATGTGTTTATTACTACAGGCGGTTGTACTTGTTGTACTAGCAAAAACAATTCTGAGCTTCCTTCAAGTAAGAAAATCAGATATCTACAATAAAAACTCGGAGAAAGAGCTATTTATAATTATTTTTATTTTTCAAATATTCCACACATTTACAGCATCTTTATTACGGAGTGGAACATTTCTTAAGAGTGGGTACTTTAGAACTAGTTCCTGTTTTTATCACACATGCAGGGGCTGAAGGACGTGGGTTTGACCCAAAGAACTTAAACACAAAAGAGAAAAGAAAAGAAAACCACAAGCTGAAGAGCAGCACATGTTGATGAGCACAGTAATAAAGCACCCTGCAAACACAAAGCACTGAGACATTTACAAGCAAACATTTTCACACTTTTTCTCAATTCATTATTTCAGTAAATGTTGCAGGTGAATAGCTGAATGAGCAGCTCGTAGTCTTTATTGTCTTCTGTTCACAATAAATGTTCATCTTCTGTCTCTCTGTGTTTAGTCTCATGTGTCTCGCTGTGGGTTTCCTGAATAAAGCTGTTTAACCTTCACACTCAAACTAAACTGAGACACTGAACCTTCACCAGTTTTCTGTGGCTTTGAGATGGACAGAAAAACAGCTTGTTCATCACACAAACACAAAACACCTCCAGCATTTGTGAGAAACTTTGAGACAGAAAACATGTCATTTTCAAGTCTCTGAATATTACAATAACAACAAATCATTTGAAAATGCTAATTATTACTGTTCATTTGCATGTACTGTGGATATTTAGTTCAGGCCTGAGAGTAATACAAAATAAAATTATTATTTGGACTCGGACTCAGATGTTCTCCTTTGCAGAAAGTACAAACTTTTCTCATTGTCTTTCATGATAATAATTAGATAAACATGCTTTTATACTGTGTTTCTGTATATTTCTCTGATAATGTTGATTTCATCAGTATGGAAACTAGATTCAGTCA